TGTAATTTTTTTTTTTTTTTTTTTTTTTTTTTTTTCATGAAACTATAACAATGCCTCTCTCTTTCCAGTCGCGTCTCCGTGATTCTAATCGTAATTTATTTATGCGGCGGCCGTTTCACGTGCGGATGGCTTTTTCGAAAGGCCTTGGATTAATTTTCTATTTCCATCGAGTAGTGCCTTTCCACATGTACGCATGCATGCGTGGACGTGTGAAAATCGTTTCCTCCTGTACCCCACGTGTCGTGCAAACTAGCTTACAAGTGCACGTAATCGTAATGTATTTTATACGCGTATATAGACACACAGTGTGATAAATGTTGGTCTGTGTGTCTATAATTAAATGTATAGGTATTCGCATCGATTGCACCTAGATATCGACGCATAAATTGATACCTCGAGTATCGCGGGCCGCCGACAATTCGACGTATTTGAAGCGGAAAGAAAAAAAAATAAGATCACCTTTCGGGGCGTGTTGTGCAAAGGGTGATTCGTGCGTAGTTGAGAATTAGGTATACGTGAAAGTGTATGTAATCGAACGAGAAAATAAAAATACCACGAAACGGCACCACAAAAGATTTGGTCCCGAGATATTCCTGTTTCCCATGTCCCGTGAGATGTCGTTTAAAAGCACATAATTCAGATTTGTGTAAACCCACCGATTCGAATATCCAAAAGTTGTGATGAACATGAAAATTTAGGTAGTTTATCGGTTGAAAAGTGTATAAAATTAATAGATGCGCTAAAAGACGCAAGTCGGAACAAAGGAGCTGAGAAATTTGTACATAATACTAACGTACCAATGTAAAAAAAAAAAAAAAAAAAAAAAAGAAAAGCGCGCACGTGTCCACGTCTCGCACCTATACAACATATAGGTGTGTAATAACACAGCGCTAAGCCGCACCATGATCGTGTATACAAGCACCAACACAAACACGCAATTACCACGTACACATGAGTACACGCTTTGCGATATTCAAGGTCAGAAGTAAAAAAGCCTTTTCAAGAGAGCGAGAGAGTCGCGGAGTCGGTATACGCAGTAGTCACTGTCGGTATATGTATAGAGGCGAGGCGAGGCTCGCGGGATGCCTATAGCGTGTAGGCGAGCTCTCTGCGTGCAGCGGTGGCAGATAGGTGTATAATATATACGTATCTCGTTACATGATCTTCCTATTATATAAGAAACAACAATCGCTACACCAGCACTCCAACTATTGATGCTGGCTCTCGTAGCGCACTGCATTTGTTACCTTACGGTATATACACAAGCACCCGCAAAAATTAATCGACAGCCTCTTCGTCGCGTTAACCCGGACCTACGACCGTACACTACCCGTATGTGTTACCCCTTCTCTTCGTTTTCGCCGTCCTTACGCCTAATGTTACGTACAATACGAGAATTGTTGTGTACCTCCGCGTCCTTCAAAGAGAGCGCAATCGCGTTACCTTGGAGCGG